ATTACTTAGTAAATTCTTCTTAAATTACTTAGTAATTCTCAGTAAATTACCTAGTAAATTGCAAGTAATTATAAGTAAATTACATTGTAAAATCATAGTAAATTCGCTGTAAATTCTCAATAGATTACTCTGTAAGTTCTCAGTAAATTCTCTGTAAATTACTAAGAAAAATTGCCTCTAAATTCTCAGTAAATTACTCATCAAATTTTCAGTAAATTCTCAGTAAATTACTCAATAAATTACTTTTTTAATTCTCTGTAAATTAATTAGTAAGTTCCTTGTAAATTCTCAGTAAATTACTCGATAATTTCTCACTAAATTTTTTGTAAATTACTCAGAAAATTGCTCAGAAAATTGTTAGTAAATTCTCAGTAAATTCTCGGTAATTTAGTCGGTAAATTTTCAGTAAATTCTCTATAAATTCTCACAAAATTACCTAATAAATTCCTAATAAATTCTCAATAAATTCCAAAAAAAATCTAACTAAATTACTCAATGAATTCTCAGTAAATTACGCAATAAATTCCCAGTAAATTCTCAATAAATTAGCCAGTAAATTCTCAGCCAATTACACTGTAATTCTCGGTAAATTACTCAGTAAATTCTAAATAAATTCTCAGTAAATTACTTAGTAAATTCCCTTTAAATTACTCAGTAAATTCTCTAGAAATTACTATTTAAATTCTCAGTAAATTACTCAGTACATTTATTCTGTAAATTGTGAGTAAATTGCCAAGTAAATTTTCAGTAAATTCTCAGTAAATTCCTAGAAATTACTCAGTAAATATCTAATAAATTCCAAAAAAATTATTCAGCAAATTCCCAATAAATACTTAGTAAATCATTAAGTAAATTACTGAGTAAATTCTCAGTACTTTTATCCTTCAATTCCCAATAAATTTCTTAGTAAATTTTCAGTAAATTCTCAATAAATTGCTCAGTAAATTGCTTAGTAAATTACTAGTAACTTCCTAGTAAATTATTCAGTAAATTCCCAATAAATTCTCAGGCAATTCCTTATAAATTTTTCGTAAATTCTTAGTAAATTACTCAGCAAATTCCCAGTATATTCTCAGTAAATTAATAAGTAAATTCCCAGTAAATTACTCATAAAATTCCCAGTAAAATTACTTGGTAAATTTCCAGTAAATTCTCTGTAAATTACTCCTTAAATTATCTGTAAATTCCTAGAAAATTCTAAGAAAATTTCTCAACAAATTAAACAGTAAATTCTCGGTAAATTACCCAGTAAATTCTCTGTCAATTCCCTATAAAATCCCAGCAAATTACTCTGTAAGTTCTCAGTAAATTCTCAAAATATTACTCAGTAAATTGCCAACAAATGCTCTGTAGATTACTCAGAAAATTCTCAGTAAATTCTCTAAAAATTACTCATGAAATTCCCAGTAAATTACTCAGTTAATTCCCAATCAATTCTCAATAAATTCCCAGGAAATACTCAGAAAGTTGCGCTGTAAATTCCCAATAATTTACTCAGTAAATTCAATGTAAATTACTCAGTAAATTACTCTATAAATTTTCAGTAAATTCCAAATAAATTACAAAATAAATTCTCAACAAATTCCCAGTAAATTACTCAGTAAATTCGCAATAAATTTTCTATAAATTACTTAGAAAATTTCTCAGTGAATTCTCTAAAAATTACTCAATTAATTACTGAGTAAATTACTTAGTAAATTACTCAGTAAATTCTTAGAAAATTCCCAGTAAATTCCTTCTAAATTCTCAGTGAATTACTTAGAAAATTGCCAGTAATTTCTAAGTAAATTCCCTATAAATTCTCAATAAATTACTCTGGAAATTCCCACTATGTTCTCAATAAATTATACAGCAAATTCCCAGTAAATTCGCGGTAAATTACTCAGTGCATTACTTTGTAAATTGCCACTATATTACTCAGTAAATTACAGTAAATTCTCAGAAATTACTCAGAAAATTTCCAGTAAATTAACAGTAAGTTCTCAGTAAATTCCAAACAAATTCTAACTACATTATTTACTAAATTCCCAGTAAATTCTAAACAAATTACTAAGTAAATTCTTAGTAAATTCCGAGTGAATTCTCAGTAAATTACTCATTAAATTCAATGTAAATTAGTCAATAAATTCTCTGTAAATTAATCAGTAAATTCCTAGCAAATTCTCAATAAATACACAGTAAATTACTCAGTAAATTCTCAAAAAATACTCTAGTAAATTACTCAGTAAATTCTCAGTAAATTACTTAGTAAATTACTCAGTAAATTCTCAGTAAATTACTTAGTAAATTACTCAGTAAATTCTCAGTAAATTACTTAGTAAATTACTGTATTCTTTCAATCATCATACTCAAACTTCCATTTTTATTTTTATTCGACTTCCATTTTTATTCAATTTCTTTTTCTAGTCAACTTCATTTTTTATTAAATTTCCAAATAGATCGTTAAGGTATAGTAGTTTCTTGAATGAACTTCCATTGTTAATTTCATTTTTGTCACGCCCCCAAACCGCCCCTAGTAGTTTGGTGCCGTGATAGCCAGTAATCCGAGATTACCGAAGGCCGACTTACAAAATTTACACACAATCAATGTATAATTACATGGGGCTCACAAGTGCGGAAGCAATAATTTAAAATGCAAGTGGTCCATAAGAGCAGTGCATAAGTCAAATGAAATAGCAACCATCTTCATATGGGTTACAACTTAATTACAAACGAAGCAGAGTACAAAATTACATCTTACATATTAACAAAGGGATTCACAAGCCGACATAACAATCATACAAGACACACATCTTGATCAAAAGACTTCTCAAGCCGACGTATGCAACATACTAGTATTACAAATCGAGAAGCATGATTTTCAAGACTGCCGACGTAAATACAAGTCAAGCCGACATAAACAAAATCCAAAATAAGCTCTAGAATCACATCTAGGCGTCACTGCCTTCTTGTTCATCACCTACATATATGTAGAGAGGGTGAGCTTGGATACTCAGTGAATGGTACAAATAATAAAGGGGTTCACATGAATAATAGCCGAAGTCCTTTAAAACAATACAAGTCAAAACTCTAGATAATAAGGGATGGACCTCATCCATCTAACAAATCTTCAAAGCTTCAAGGAATACTGCCTAGCATCACATATTACAAATGGTAACATTCCGACAAACATATCCACGAGGTAAACCGTCAGTGGCAAAACAAGACAAGCAAGAGAGGCATCTCAAACAAGGGCGCTACAAAAGTTTAGAGTCCTCTAGCACAAGGGACCTATGTTACAAAGGCCCGTAGCCTTTTAACACGAGAGTGCTGCGAAAGTTTAGAGTTCTCTAACACAAGGGACTTTCAAGACAAGATGTGCTGCGAAAGTTTAGAGTCCTCCAGCACGAGGGACTTCAAAAACGAGATGTGCTGCGAAAGTTTAGAGTCCTCCAGCACAAGGGACTTTCCGAGAAGGTCATCAAGACAAGATCATACTTGATATACAAAACAGGGACAATTATTCATGCTTAACAAACACTTTCAGAACAAAGCAAAGCAAAGTCTTTATCAAAACGTATAACATAGCTTTATTAAAAATACCACTCACTTAGTTCGTCAAACGTCGGGGTCGAGGCAAGTCCCAGTCCTACAAACACATGGCAAAGTCTATTGAATGCACTTCTCAAAACAAGTCTAGCACGCATGCAATTGACCTCGACATTCTTCAAAAACTAAGTCAAACCAAGTCAAAACACAGTTTCTTATCTTTGGAAAAACAAGCTGGGCAACCTCCAGGTCTAGGCCGAAGTCCCACACCTCCTTGCCGAGGTGTGGCCTCGATGGCCACATTCAAAAGCGAAGTCGGGAAAATCTGGGTTTCCCTCTTGATAAACATGAAGAACATGAACATGAGGAAGATGAATGCAAAGATCAAAACTTGCTGTTACAAAAGCTGAGATTTCAGGCTATAATTTCAAAAACATAGACCTGGGTACCCATACTCAAAGATCTTATCAAAACAAATACAAAGACATGAGCCTTAATGCAAACTTTCGGATCAAACGAGGCTTTTCTTCAAAAACACATGAAAACCATTTTCTCTTTCTAAAACCAACTTTAAATCGATGTATGGTGTGCGGAACAGGTTTGATCGTGCAATGCAGCTAGATAATCAATAAGAACAATAAGAACAACAAGAATAGGTTACGATTCTAACCTCAAAACTCGAATCTAACGGTTCAAGCTCCAACGATCAAGCTTGGAAGTTCACTCCCTCTAGCTTAAACTTCCCCTCCTTCTTCCTAGAGTTTCTCTCTCTAAAAGGCAAGATTTGATACAAATGATATGTTTCTCACGACAATCACTGACTTAATCCCTCTGCCGGGACACGTGGCATCGGCTGATTGGCTTTACTCGAAAAGGTGACTGACTTGACAAGACAAGACCAAGACAAAGTGTATTCAGCAAGCTAGACGGCAAGAGCACTCCGGCAAGTGATGATCTCGGCTAAGGGCAAAGCTTCGGCAAGTAGGGTAACAATGACATCGGCTTGGAAGGACAACACTTGACTAAGCTGTGCCGCATCTTGGCCTAGATGTGCCACACCTCGGTCTAGGTCATACCGTTCCAGGAACAAAATCACTCACGCGAGGATCAAGGATCTAGAACGCCTAGATATTAACATCTCGGCCTAGGCGACGCGCACCTCGGCCTAGATCGTGACATCTCGGCCAATATGCCACGGTGAAGATGGAGGTCAACCAAAGGGGTTTCAAGATAGTTCTAAGTGATAAAGGTCTCGAAGGTGTCTAGGCTTAAGATGACCTCGGCAACACACCAGACAAGAACAAAGCATGCAAGCAATCATTCAAGCAAAACAAGACAAGATTTGCAAATGCACATATTAAAACAAGATCATCCATAAATGTATGCAAGTATGACTAAGTCAAAATGAGGGTTGTTACATTTGCAGTCTGCTCTTACCAGAGAATCACTTCCTGTAACCAAGATTTGAGATATATAAATTTCTGATTTATGTTCTCTAGAGGTGGAAAATACTCGGAAGAAGATGCAAAGGCTGTCATGGTACAGATTTTGAGTGTGGTTGCCTACTGTCATCTCCAAGGTGTAGTTCACCGTGACCTCAAGCCTGAGGTAATGAACTCGGACATTTTCATTATTTTCTTGGTAATTTATAGAACTTAACGTGGAAAATATTACATCTTGTAGCAAGTTCCGGATAGTGTGTTCACACATAACCCTACTAATAGGCTTTAAAACTGTTTTTAACATTTTTCTTCTCATAATCATAAGTTAATCAAAACATGGGATATAATACACAATTTAAAGAGATCAATAATTCTAAAGCTAACAGACATTAATTTCATCTAATCTAATCCATCCTAACAAATATGTCCTAAATGGACAATGATCTCTAATAGCGTTTCAAAGTTGTTTTCATTCATCTCAAATATGTCCTGCCTTTTATTTTGCCAGAGCTAATGCTTTTTGGACTTGTGTCATTGGTAATTGGTCATTGGATCAATCAAGTGAAAGCGTTGTTACATAATTTTTCCTCTTGTTGGCTGCAGCCGGGAATGGTAACAACTGATCTTCTGTTGTCTGGAGCTTCTACAAAGCAGGTAGAATGTGTATTGCATATTTCCTTGATTTCTTTTGTGAAGCTTTTGGATCAATCAAGTGAAAGCGTTTTATTTATTTCAGGCCAAGTTTTTCATTAATGTTTTGGCACAACCGGCAGAAGTGGTAAGAGTTTATTGATGTGGTGATCTACCTAAGGGAGTGATGTACAAACAGTGTTTTTAATTCCTTGTTTTTGAGTTTTAGGTGCTTGCTTTGTTTCAATAGTCATCTGAATTCATGATTATGGATTGTGATGTTCGATGAAATAAATCATATGGTTAGGTTTTCCAAATAGGCAAATGCACATACAAGACTTAGAGATGGACCGTGTCTAACAATCTCATTCACATACAACAAAGCAAGTTTATCGGCGTTGAAGGTGGTCTTAACAGGCAAGAAGTGTGCTTACTTTGTTAGTCTATCAACAATAACCCAAATCGAATCCATCCCCTTTTGTGTCTTCGGTAAACTAACCACGAAGTCCATGGAGATGTGCTCCCATTTCCACTCAGGAATCGGTAAAGGTTGAAGAAGTCCTGCTGGCCTTTGATGTTCTACTTTCACTTGTTGACAGTACAGACACTGCGACACGAACTCGGCTATCTCTCCTTTCATGTTCGGCCACCAAAACGTCTGCTTCGCATCCTGATACATCTTGGTGTTCCCGGGGTGAACAGCAAACTTGGAACCATGAGCTTCCTGCAGAATTTTTCTTTTCAACTCTGGGATGTCGGCTACACACAACCTCCCTTCAAACTTGTGCACTTGATTCTCTAGGGTGTACCCTGATCTCGGCTTTGCGATAATCTCATCGGCTACTTTCTTGAAGAATTCATCCTCCATTTGTCTCGTCTTTACTTCCTCAACAATAGTCGGCTCCACTGAGATCGCGGTTAGGCATGCCAAATTTCCAACCACCTTTCTGCTCAAAGCATCGGCTACAGTGTTAACTTTTCCTGGGTGATATTGAATCCGCATATCGTAATCTTTCAACAACTCAAGCCATCTTCTCTGCCTCAAATTCAATTCCTTCTGAGTGAACAAGTACTTTAAGCTTTTATGATCTGTAAAAGCCTGACAAGAAGCTCCATACAAGTAGTGGCGCCAAATCTTCAAAGCAAATACCATGACTGCTAATTCTAAATCATGGGTGGGATAGTTCTTTTCATGTGGCTTCAACTGACGAGAGGCATATGCTATAACCCTACCTTTTTGCATTAATACACAACCCAGACCCTTATGCGAAGCATCACTGTAGACATGAAACTCTTCATTACCTAATGGTAGTACAAGAATTGGTGCTGCGACCAATCTCGTCTTCAACTCCTGGAAAGCTGCTTCTCTATCCTTAGTCCATTCATAAGCCACTCCCTTCTTAGTCAGTTGTGTCAACGGAATTGCAATCCTTGAGAAATCCTTTACGAATTTTCTGTAATAACCAGCCAATCCCAGAAAACTACGAACCTCGGACACATTAGTCGGCCTCGACCAATTCACAATGGTTTCAATTTTACTAGGATCGACCGAAATACCCTCTTCATCAATCACATGGCCCAAAAATGAAACAGTGGAAAGCCAAAACTCACACTTACCCTCTTCATCAATCACATGGCCTAAAAATGAAATAGTGGAAAGCCAAAACTCACACTTGTTAAATTTAGCATACAATTTCCGATCCCTCAAAGTCTGTAAGGTAAGTCTCAAATGCTCCTCGTGTTCGGCTTTACTTCTAGAGTAAATCAATATATCATCGATGAAAACAACCACAAACTCGTCTAGATATGGCTTAAAGACTCTGTTCATCAAATCCACAAATGCTGCAGGGGCATTGGTCACTCCAAAAGGCATTACTAAAAACTCGTAGTGGCCATACTTCGTCCGAAAACAGTCTTCTCAACATCCTCGGCTTTAACCATAAGCTGATGATAACCCGACCTAAGGTCAATTTTGGAAAAGACTCTTGCTCCTTGCAACTGGTCAAACAAATCGTCTATCCTCGGCAACAGGTACTTATTCCTGATGGTTACCTTATTTAGTTCCCGGTAATCAATACATAGACGAAGCGTACCATCCTTCTTCTTAACAAACAAGATGGGTGCTCCCCAGGGTGAAGTGCTCGGCCTAATAAAACCCTTATCTAGCAACTCTTGTAGTTGAAGTTTCAATTCCTTAAGCTCGACGGGGGCCATCCTATAGGGTGTTTTAGAGATGGGCTGGGTTCCCGACATGATGTCAACAGTAAACTCTACCTCTCTATCAACTAAGTGACCAGGCAAATCATTTGGGAAGACGTCGGGGAATTCATTAACCACTGGGACGTCGGCTAACTCAACACTTCCATTCAAATTACTTAATATGCTACACAAGTAACCCTGACACCCTTTTTGGATTAACCTATAGGCCTTCATGGATGAAATTAAGTAAGGTAGGGATACCACACCTTTTCCCTGAAACGTGACCTCGGCTAGGTTTGGGCGTTTTAACGTGACACTCTTAGAAACACAATTTATGGACGCGTGATTTGCCACTAACCAATCCATCCCCAATATAACATCAAAATGAGTTATGTCCAATGGCATTAAATCAGCTAACAGTTCAACATTCCCAATCACAACAACACATGCTCGATAGATGGATGCAACATTCATAGATCTCCCAGATGGAGTAGATACAGATAATACATAATCAAGGGGTTCTAGTTTCCTATTAATCTTCTCGGCAAACTTAGCAGAAATGAATGAATGCGTAGAACCCGAATCAATCAATACATATGCACTTTGAGAGCAAATTGAAAGCATACCTAACACCACTGTGTCAGCATTTTGAGTGTCCCCTGGTACAAGTACAAAAACTCTGCCTTGCCTCATCGGTCCTTTCCCAGCGTTACCTTTCTGCATGGAGCCCGAAGTATTCTCATCTTTCTTACCTTCACCAGCCTTCGTTTTTGGACAGTCCCTCACAAAATGACCTACTTCGCCACATTCGTAACAAGCTCCAGACGCCCGACGACAGACCCCGAAATGTGGCTTCCCACAACTGGAACATGTCGGCTTAGTACCACTCTCTTGTCTTGGGTTGCTTGAACTGCCGATGTTCGATTTCTTCTTGGTACCAAACGGTGCTCAGCGATTGTCATAACTCTGCCTCTTCCTCTGGCTCTCTCCCGAACCCTGGTATCTGTTCAAGTTAGCTTCAGCCAGAATAGCTTTGTCCAGCACTCCGGCATAAGTCAGCATGTTAACCCGGTCTTGTATCGATCCACGGAGTCCACTTTCGAACTTCCTAGCCTTCATATATTCATCATTGACCATGTGGGGTGCGTACCTTGCCAACTCGGTAAAGGCACAGTCATATTCAGCTACTGTTCTACTGCCTTGCGTCAAAGTCTGAAACTCGGTAGCCTTGTGATTCCGAACACTTAAGGGAAAATGCTTGGTGTAGAACAATTCTAAAAATCGGGTCCAGGTCAAGTCTAGATTGCTTTCTTGAACCATCATCCACCATCTGCGGGCGTCGTCATCTAGTGTAAAAGCTGCTAATGTCACCTTTTGGGTGTCAGTGCTAGGAAAGATCTCGAACAGCTTTTCCATTTCCAAAACCCAAGCTTCGGCCTTCATTGGTTCTAGACCCCCTTGGAATCTGGGTGGCTTCATTTTCTTGAACTCCCTGATCAGAGCTATCGTGCCGCCCCCATATAAAGCTGGTTGTGGGGGCACTTGTGGTACTGGAGGAGGTGGAGGTGGAACTGCATTTCGGCCATTTGTCTGCTCGGCCTGAGTTGATGTAGCACTAGCATATTGCTGTCTTGTCTGCCTTAACTCGCGGGCCAAACCTTCAACTAACCTCTCCAGTCTGTCCAATCTGTCCTCGGACTGATCTCGGCCAACTGGAGGTCTACCTCTCCCCATGATGCTATGAGTATGCAAAATATGACTTTTAAACAAGACGAACAAGTAATCACGTAGGCAAGTAACAATTAAGCATGCCGAGATGATGCACACCTTGACCACATAGCAAGCAATATGATGCAATCCTAACATCCTTCTCAGGGGAAATCCTATGCTCTTTAGGACTCAAAGTGTGTGAATAAGTATACCAAGGAACTTGTGCTCTGATACCATTCTGTCACGACCCCAAACCGCCCCTAGTAGTTTGGTGCCGTGATGGCCAATAATCCGAGATTACCGAAGGCCAACTTACAAAATTTACACACAATCAGAGTATAATTACATGGGGCTCACAAGTGCGGAAGCAATAATTTAAAATGCAAGTGGTCCATAAGAGCAGTGCATAAGTCAAATGAAATAGCAACCATCTTCATATGGGTTACAACTTAGTTACAAACGAAGCAGAGTACAAAATTACATCTTACATATTAACAAAGGGATTCACAAGCCGACATAACAATCATACAAGACACACATCTTGATCAAAAGGCTTCTCAAGCCGACGTATGCAACATACTAGTATTACAAATCGAGAAGCATGATTTTCAAGACTGCCGACGTAAATACAGGTCAAGCCGACATAAACAAAATCCAAAATAAGCTCCAGAATCGCATCTAGGCGTCACCGCCTTCTTGTTCATCACCTACATATATATAGAGAGGGTGAGCTTGGATACTCAGTGAATGGTACAAATAATAAAGGGGTTCGCATGAATAATAGCCGAAGTCCTTTAAAACAATACAAGTCAAAACTCTAGATAACAAGGGATGGACCTCGTCCATCTAACAAATCTTCAAAGCTTCAAGGAATACTGCCTAGCATCACATATTACAAATGGTAACATTCCGGCAAACATATCCACGAGGTAAACCGTCAATGGCAAAACAAGACAAGCAAGAGAGGCATCTCAAACAAGGGTGCTACAAAAGTTTAGAGTCCTCTAGCACAAGGGACCTATGTTACAAAGGCCCGTAGCCTTTTAACACGAGAGTGCTGCGAAAGTTTAGAGTCCTCCTGTAGCAACCCTCACCTTAGTCTTGTCATACATGCATACATTCATGCATGATCTTATCTTGTTATGTTGTTTTGCAAGTTTGCCTTGCCTTGTTTTGTTTAAGTATTACTTGCATGATTTTGTTCCTTGCTTGGTGTAGCCGAGGTCATCTTGAGCTTAGTTCACCCCTGAACCTTTGTACTTAGAACTGTTTTGGAACCACTTGGTCGACCCCCATCTTCACCCTGGTATGTTTGCCGAGATGTGTTGCACTTAGTGATCATTGTCCTCGGGCAGGTATGGCCTAGACCGAGGTGTGGCACACCCCGGCCAAGGTGTGGCACAGCTTAGTCAAGTGTCGTCCTCCCTAGCCGATGT